AGCTTTTCAGTCGCTTCTTGGTAACGTTCTTCTGCATCGCGAATGGTGCTTAATATAGTTTCTTTGCGATTATTTAAGATATTAGTTAATGAAGTAGATTGCTAATCTATGCTAATGCATTAGCTTAACTATCTCTTCCCAAACCGGACATGAATCTTCTCGATTCACCCGGCTCTCTCGTTCACCCATGTGTAATTAAAGCCCGATAAGAAACATGTATATATTCTTTTTCTTGCAACTTATAGAAAAGGCAAAAAAGACATGTTTTTTGTATCCTAAATGACTTATACACAAATGTTTGAACGTACCTTTCATTGCAAATGCGATTTCAAGGTTCTCCTGACCATTTGTTTTTGATCAGCACGGTTGTTTTCTTCGAATCACTATAAAAAATCTTAAGGTTGTCTATTTAGTATATTGTTATCAAGTGTATTTCTTGAATATATTCTGGAAGATTCTGACTGATGAATTCATTGAATGAATTCCCTTATAATCTCGATACGAGTGTTCTGTACCGAAAAAATCTCCAACAAGGTTAAGATTTGTAATTATCTTATTGAGCAAAGAAAGCTCCAGCAATACTTAGACTTCAAGCAATAGAGCCTTAACCTAGTAGATTTTTCCTCATTATAGAAAGTTAATAGTGTCTTTAACTTAATATTCAACGAAATGCTTTTGTCCATACAAAGATTCTTCTTTGTGAGTCATTCGTGAGGATCATACACTTTATAGTCAGAGTGTAGTTGGATTTTTTTCCAACCATGTCATTCAAATATTCATCCCGCACACACTCCCTTACCAAAGTAAACTAATACACCGATCACTACTGCTAAATTGATCAAATTAGTATCTAGCAAATTGGTATTGAGGCTTAGCCCCTCATTTGCCAGAGCCCAAGAATCCAACGAAGCAATCAAGTCAATTGCGCTGTTCATACCCTGTTTCTCCAATAAGGTCCATTTTCTACATAATGCTACTTATATGAGGTTTAACTAAAATGTCAGGAAATTTATATTACCTCATGATTTAAGTTCTTGGGTCTAGTACATCTTCTTATACGTATTATGTAATAGCAAATATTAGAATGAGTTTTTCAACTAGATTAATCTCCTGAATATCAGAAAAATATGTATAAAACAATATACCAAATGATGCCGATATGCATTATTTCTCATTTGTAATTTAGAGCATTCTTGTTTGAACATAGATTCTCTTATGATCAAAATGAAAAGCATACAATCGGCATCTTTCCCCCAAATAACTTGTTTTTCCCTATGCCTGTCTACTTAAAGTCAAAAATCAACTTCAGTCTTTCTATGAAACATAGTCATAGCAAAACCTATGTGCTAGACAAGCTAAAAGCTTTGTGTATAGAACTATACAAAAGGATTTGCAAATAGAAGAGCTAAAGCTACTACTAGTCCATAGATAGTCAAAGCTTCCATGAAAGCCAAACTAAGTAACAAAGTGCCTCGGATCTTACCTTCGGCTTCTGGTTGTCTTGCAATACCTTCTACAGCTTGTCCAGCAGCAGTTCCTTGTCCAATACCAGGACCAATGGAAGCTAGACCTACAGCCAACCCAGCAGCGATCACGGAAGCAGCAGAGATCAAAGGGTTCATTACTTTTCTCCTTCAAATAAGACCAAGGAGGCTGTGTATTCTACAAGTCTCCCCGTGTATGCCTAAATGTACAAACATTTTAGCAATTAGTAACTCATGATGTCTCTTGGGTGTGATAGTAGCACCAAAAAGCAATGTCAATAAACGTTTATCTTATCATACCATGTAGAACACAGTTCTACCAATTAAAGAAAAACATTTATAACTTAAACTGTCTCTAAAAAATACATAATACATATCATATAATGTATTTCTTTGCAGCTTTTGATAACAGCAACTTGAGTATTTTCTAAGATAATTAGACAATTCTCATACAGAGACAGCTAAGCTTAGAATAGGAGAATCCTATTCTAATTCTTACAAAAAATCAACTAATTATCTATATCTTTTTGTTGAAAAGATATACACAGAAGATCGTTTCTCTTGATAAAACATGATGATAATAATCATCATGAACTAAAGAAAATAGAAATAATACATTTATTTATGTGCTTGCTGTAACAGGGAAATACAAATTGTTTTTTTGATTTAGTTTCAAAAAAAATAAAGATGAACTAATTTTAGTTTCATGTTCCCTATTTTACAAATTTCTTCTAAAAGGTATTATAATCTATGTTTGCAAGTTGTCAACAATAAGAAGTTATATGTATATATTCCTTCTTCTAAGGAGATTGCAATGTTGTCAAATCCAACTTTCACTCTTTATATCAATAATTTTTTTGTATATCAGATAGAATAAATTCTATTCGAACCACAACAAATATGGGAGTAGACTACTCCCATATTTGTTTTACCAACTTGATTTAGTTACACCAGGTAATAAACAAGCATGTGCCATTTCACGCAATACATGTCTTGACAAGCCAAAGTCACGATAAACTGCTTTTGGTCTTCCTGTTACAAAACAACGACGAGTAATTCTATTAGGCGCACTATTTCGTGGCAAAGATTGCAATTCTCTATGCAATTGACATTTTTCATCAATTGATGAAACTGTCTTAATTTGTTCTTTTAATTCCTGACGACGCTCATAGTATTTAGATGCTAATCTTTCACGTTTCTTATCCCTTTCAATCATACTTTTTTTAGCCATATTGTTTATAAAAAATAAAAATAACGGAAGAAGCTTATATAGTGAATTTCAGGCTATCCCACCTCTTGAGAGGTGGGATAGCCTAAAAAACTTACTATTTTCTTAATATCTCAAAAATAGATTTTTACAAAATAGTAAGCAGTTATGATGTTGACATATCCTTAACCGAATTTACCTGAGGTAGATGCAATTAGGAAAGCAGCATAGGTAAATACATAACCTACAGAGAAATGAGCTAATCCTACTAATCTAGCTTGCACAATAGAAAGAGCTACTGGTTTATCTTTCCAACGCACAAGATTAGCTAATGGAGTACGTTCATGAGCCCAAGCTAATGTCTCGATCAATTCTTGCCAATAACCACGCCAAGAGATCAAGAACATGAAACCTGTAGCCCAAACAAGGTGTCCAAATAAGAACATCCAAGCCCATACAGACAAACTGTTCATACCGAATGGGTTGTATCCATTAATTAACTGAGATGAGTTTAACCATAGATAATCTCTAAGCCAGCCCATTAAGTAAGTAGAAGATTCATTAAATTGCGCTGCATTACCTTGCCATAAAGCTAAGTGTTTCCAATGCCAGTAGAAGGTTACCCATCCAATAGTATTTAACATCCAGAAAACAGCTAGATAAACAGCATCATAAGCAGAAATATCGCAAGTTCCACCTCTACCTGGACCGTCACAAGGGAAGCTGAATCCAAATTCCTTTTTGTCAGGCATTAATTTAGATCCACGAGCATCTAAAGCACCTTTCACAAGAATCAAGGTTGTTGTATGCAAACCTAGAGCAATTGCATGGTGTACTAAGAAATCCCCTGGGCCAATAGTCAAGAATAAAGAATTACTATTGTTATTAATAGCATCTAACCACCCTGGTAACCATAGACTTTTTCCTGCAGTAATAGTAATGCTAGAACTGGAAGAAAGTAATACATCAAATCCATATAAAGCCTTACCATGAGTAGATTGAATCCACTGAGCAAAAACAGGTTCAATTAGGATTTGTTTTTCTGGAGTACCAAAAGCCAGTACAACATCATTATGTACGTATAGACCAAGTGTATGGAAGCCCAAGAATAAGCTAGCCCAACTTAGGTGAGAAATAATAGCTTCTTTGTGTTCCAACATTCTAGCCAATACATTTCCTTTGTTTTGCTCTGGATTGTAATCTCTGATAAAGAAAATTGCACCATGAGCAAAAGCTCCTGTCATGATGAAGCCAGCAATATACTGATGGTGAGTATAAAGTGCTGCTTGAGTAGTAAAATCTTGAGCTATGAATGCATAAGAAGGTAAGGAATAGCTGTGCTGAGCTACCAAAGAAGTGATAACACCTAAACACGCTAATGCTAATCCTAATTGGAAATGAAGAGAATTATTCACTGTGTCAAATAGGCCTTGGTGACCGCCGCCCATACGACCGCTTGGAGCAATATGTGCTTCCATAATCTCTTTCATACTATGTCCAATTCCAAAGTTGGTACGATACATATGTCCAGCAACGATGAATATTACAGCAATTGCTAGATGGTGATGAGCTATATCGCTTAACCAAAGACTTTGTGTCTGTGGATGAAAACCGCCTAAGAAAGTTAAGATAGCAGTACCAGCTCCTTCTGAAGTACCAAAGATATGGCTGCTAGAATCTGGATTTTGTGCATAAACACCCCATTGGCCAGCAAAGAAAGGTGCTAAACCTTGTGGATGTGGAGCAGTAGTTAAGAAATTATCCCATCCTACATGCTGTCCTCTAGATTCAGGAATAGCTACGTGTACGATATGTCCAGCCCAAGCCAAAGAACTGGTTCCAAATAAACCAGCTAAATGGTGGTTTAAACGAGACTCAGCATTTTTGAACCAAGAAACACTAGGTTTCCACTTAGGTTGTAGATGTAACCATCCACCTACTAAAGAAACAGCAGCTAATCCTAATAGGAAAAGTGCTCCTGTGTAAAGATCTTGGTTAGAACGTAGACCTTGAGTATACCACCATTGATATACACCGGAATAGGAAATATTTACAGGACCAGAAGCGCCTCCTCGAGTATAAGCTTCTACTGCTGGTTGTCCAAAATGAGGATCCCAAATTGCATGTGCGATAGGACGAACATGCAAAGGATCTTGAGACCACGCTTCAAAATTGCCCTGCCATGCTACGTGAAACAAATTCCCAGAGGTCCACAAGAAGATAATTGCTAACTGACCAAAATGAGAAGCAAAAATCTTCTGATAAAGCCGTTCTTCGGTGATATCATCATGACTTTCGAAGTCGTGTGCAGTAGCAATTCCAAACCAAATACGGCGAGTGGTTGGGTCTTGGGATAGGCCCTGGCTAAATTTTGGAAATCTTGATGCCATAATGCTTTAAAACCCTCCTAGCCATTATCCTACTGAAATAATTCTTGCTAGGAAGAATGCCCATGTTGTGGCAATCCCACCCAGAAGGTAATGAGCTACTCCTACAGCACGCCCTTGAGTAATACTAAGAGCTCGAGGCTGGATAGCAGGAGCAACTTTAAGCTTATTATGAGCCCATAGAATGGATTCAATTAGTTCTTGCCAATAACCACGGCCACTAAACAAGAACATCAAGCTAAATGCCCATACGAAGTGAGCACCTAAGAAAACTAAACCATATGCAGATAAAGCAGATCCATAAGATTGAATTACTTGAGATGCTTGTGCCCATAAGAAATCACGCAACCATCCATTAATGGTAGTTGCACTTTGAGCAAAGTTCCCTCCAGTAATATGAGATACTCCTTGAGCATTTACAGTTCCCCATACATCTGATTGCATCTTCCAACTAAAATGGAAAATTACTACAGAAATAGAGTTATACATCCAGAATAGACCCAAGAATACATGGTCCCAAGCAGAAACTTGGCAAGTACCACCACGTCCTGGACCATCACAAGGGAAGCGGAAGCCTAAATTAGCTTTATCTGGGATTAGTCGAGAACTACGAGCAAATAATACACCCTTCAAAAGAATCAAAACAGTAACGTGAATAGTAAATGCATGAATATGGTGCACTAGGAAATCAGCTGTTCCTAATGGAATAGGAGACATTGCTACTTTCCCACCTACTGCTACTAATTCACTACCACCCCAAGTGATACTGCTAGCGGCAGCTGCATTAGGTGCTGTGAAACCAGGTGCTGCAGCGTTAGTATTTTGAACCCATTGAGCAAACACAGGCTGAAGTTGAATAGCTGTGTCAGAGAACATATCTTGAGGACGACCTAAGGCACTCATAGTATCGTTATGAATATACAAACCAAAACTATGGAATCCTAGGAAGATACATACCCAGTTAAGATGAGAAATAATTGCATCTCTATGACGTAGAACACGATCTAATAGATTGTTATACTGAGTAGTTGGATCGTAATCTCTTACCAAATAGATAGCTGCATGAGCACCAGCCCCTACAACGCAGAATCCACCAATCCACATGTGGTGTGTGAATAAGGATAACTGAGTACCATAATCAGTTGCTAAATATGGGTAAGGAGGCATAGCATACATATGATGTGCTATGATAATTGTTAAAGATCCAAAAGTAGCTAAGTTTAATGCTAATTGAGCATGCCAAGAAGTGGTCAAAATTTCATAAAGTCCTTTGTGACCTTCACCAGTCATAGGCCCTTTGTGAGCTTCTAACATTTCTTTCATGCTATGACCAATTCCCCAGTTAGTTCTATACATATGTCCTGCTACTAGGAAAAGGACTGCAATTGCTACGTGGTGGTGAACTGTATCAGTTAACCATAAACCTCCTGTAACTGGATTTAGACCGCCACGGAAAGTTAAGAAATCAGAATACTCTGCCCAGTTTAAGGTAAAGAAAGGAGTTACACCTTTCGCAAAGCTAGGATATAACTGAGCTAATAAGTCTCTGTTAAATATAAATTCGTGAGGCAAAGGAATTTCTTTAGGGTCAACTCCTGCATCTAACAATTGGTTGATAGGCAAAGATACATGAATTTGGTGTCCAGCCCAACCCAAAGATCCTAAGCCTATTAGACCGCCTAAATGGTGGTTCATCATAGATTCTGCATCTTGGAACCAAGCCAATTTAGGTGCAGCTTTATGATAATGGAACCAACCAGCGATAAACATTAAGCCTGCCATTAATAAACCACCAATTGCAGTGGAATATAACTCTAGTTCAGTAGTGATTCCAGAAGAACGCCACATTTGGAATAAACCAGAGGTAATTTGAACTCCCTGGAATCCACCACCTACGTCGCCGTTCAAAATTTCTTGACCTACAATTGGCCAAACAACTTGAGCACTAGGTTTGATGTGGGTTGGATCACTTAACCATGCTTCATAATTGGAAAAGCGTGCACCATGAAAATACATTCCGCTTAACCAAATGAATATGACAGCTAATTGACCAAAGTGTGCACTAAAAACCTTACGAGAAATTTCTTCTAGATCACTAGTGTGGCTATCAAAATCGTGAACATCAGCATGCAGGTTCCAAATCCAAGTGGTTGTAGTAGGACCTTTTGCTAACGCACGAGAGAAATGACCTGGCTTAGCCCATTTTTCAAAAGAGGTTTTTACAGGATCATTGTCTACCACAATCTTGACTTCTGGTTCCGGTGAACGAATAGTCATTGAGATTCTCCTCTCTTCAGACGAGACAAAGGAAACACCTGCCCAAAATCATGAATCAGCTTCTGAGAGGGTAATATTTTAGAATTGCTACCCACTTTATTAAGTCTGTAACTAGAACAACTATGATACAGAAGTGACCCAGGACAGACTCCTAAATATATTATGACACACATTTAAGGTGCTTAATGGACCAATACATAAATAAGTGAAAGTTAGGAATTTAACCTGTATATTTACTAGGCAAGTAATAAAAAATGCGAAGTGAAGCAAATAATGGAAACTTTGCTATATTTTATATATTTTTATTTTATATCAAACATAAAGGACATTCTGATCAATTTGTTCGCCATACAACATACAAAAAGAGAAAATATAGCAAACTACAACCGTGCGCAGGATTCCTGCGCACAGTTGTTATATATGCAGCTTGCCTCTAAAACAAGATTGTTTAGCCAACGAAAGGAGCTTCAACAGATGCTAAGTCTAGAGGGAAGTTGTGAGCGTTACGCTCGTGCATAACTTCCATACCTAGGTTAGCACGGTTGATGATATCAGCCCAAGTGTTGATTACACGACCTTGGCTATCAACTACGGATTGGTTGAAGTTGAAACCGTTTAGGTTGAATGCCATAGTACTGATACCTAAAGCAGTAAACCAAATACCTACTACAGGCCAAGCAGCCAAGAAGAAGTGTAGAGAACGAGAGTTGTTGAAACTAGCATATTGGAAGATTAGACGTCCAAAGTAGCCGTGAGCTGCAACAATGTTGTAAGTTTCTACTTCTTGACCAAACTTGTAACCAGCGTTAGCAGATTCGTTTTCGGTGGTTTCACGGATCAAGCTGGAGGTAACCAAGGAACCATGCATTGCACTGAATAGAGAGCCGCCGAAAACACCAGCCACACCTAGCATATGGAATGGGTGCATAAGGATGTTGTGCTCAGCTTGGAATACGATCATGAAGTTGAAAGTACCAGAGATACCTAAAGGCATACCGTCAGAGAAACTTCCTTGTCCGATTGGGTAGATTAGGAATACTGCGGTAGCAGCTGCAACAGGAGCAGAGTATGCAACAGCGATCCAAGGACGCATACCTAGACGGAAGCTAAGTTCCCATTCACGACCCATGTAAGAAGCTACACCTAAAAGGAAGTGAAGAACGATTAGTTGGTAAGGACCACCATTGTATAACCATTCATCAACGGAAGCAGCTTCCCAGATAGGGTAGAAGTGCATACCGATTGCTGCAGAAGTAGGAACGATAGCACCAGAAATGATGTTGTTTCCGTATAGAAGAGAACCAGAAACAGGCTCACGGATACCATCGATATCTACTGGAGGAGCTGCGATGAAACCAATGATGAATACAGAAGTTGCAGTTAGAAGAAGAGGTACCATCAATACGCCGAACCATCCGATGTAAAGACGGTTTTCGGTGCTGGTAATAAAGTCAGAGAAACGACCCCATAGGCTTGCGCTTTCGCGTCTTTCTAAAGTAGCAGTCATGGTAATTATTGGTTAATAAAGTAATAAAATATGACTCAAGCTGCTTATAAGCTTGTTAGTATATATTATTACACAGAGAGTGTCATATGTCAACCTGATTTTTTATTACAACTCTTTTTATCGATGGTATCTCTATACAATGTTCGAAAGAACTTCTTATAATAAAAAGGATTGCAAAATCAAATCCCTATGAAAATATAGACATCATTGATGTCTATGTGTTTATTTGTATAAAAGAATTCGAAAAAACACTTTGGTTTTTTCCAATTTACAGTTACTATAGTATCAGAGTTATGGATAGCAGCAAGGAAACTAGCTGCTTCTACCTATAAATTTTTGAAGAAAAATCAGACCATGCAAAAAAGAGATGCTTGTAAATGGATACGAAGATGGGTGGGGCTATCAATCTCAATCATAGTTATGGCTTTGCCAATGGCTTTGCCATTAAATTCGGAAGCATTTCCGATATTTGCACAGCAAAACTATGAAAGTCCTCGAGAAGCGACTGGACGCATTGTATGTGCTAATTGCCATTTGGCAAAAAAACCGGTGGATATCGAAGTGCCACAAGCAGTTCTTCCCAATACTGTTTTTGAAGCAGTAGTTAAGATTCCGTATGATACCCAAATTAAACAGGTATTAGCCAATGGTAAAAAAGGGAATATCAATGTAGGCGCTGTGGTAATCTTACCGGAAGGCTTTGAATTAGCACCTGAAGATCGTATTCCTCCAGAAATGAAAGAAAAGATTAATAATCTTTACTTCCAAACTTACAGACCCGAGCAGAAAAATATTTTGGTAGTAGGTCCTGTACCTGGAAATAAATATAGTGAAATGGTATTTCCTATATTATCTCCCGATCCAGCTACTAACAAAGAAGCGTCTTTCTTAAAATATCCAATCTATTTAGGTGGGAATAGAGGACGTGGACAACTTTATCCTGATGGTAGCAAGAGTAATAATACAGTTTTTAGTGCTTCTGCTTCAGGAACAATTAAGAAAGTTGTTCGTACTAATATCAAAAAAGGTGGTTACGATATAACCATTATTACAGCAGACGGTAAAGAAGTAATTGACGTTATTCCTCCAGGACCAGAATTAATTGTTTCCGAAGGAGAATCCGTTAAAGTTGATCAACCATTGACTAATAATCCAAACGTAGGTGGTTTTGGACAAGCAGAAACCTCCATAGTACTGCAAGATCCATTAAGAATTCAAGGACTTCTTGTATTCTTTGCATCTGTAATTTTGGCACAGATTTTCCTAGTTCTGAAGAAAAAACAATTTGAAAAAGTACAACTTGCTGAGATGAATTTCTAAGTAAATAAAGTATTGATGTGGAAAACCACAGGAAGCGCTCGATTATCTTTTCTATAGATCGTATGAGTCCTAATCAATGAGCTTAGATCTAAAGCCTCTCCATTTACAACGTGTAATGATGGAGTGCTTAAATATTGAGAGTTTTGAACACTGTTATTTCATTCCTGTTTTGGCACAAACAGCAGAATACTGGGGAGATGCTCAAGTAGCATCTACCTGTAATCTTATGTCACAACAGGTAAAAGAATATTTTGATCATGCAGCTCATGTTCATTTCTATCTAGCAAAACAGCATAGACATTTGAATCAGAATTTCTCTATGCATGATCAGTATTATGGTTTGCTAAATACCATAAAAGTAGAAAAAAGACAAAAAGATCAAAAAATCTCTCAGTATCAAAGTGATATCTTCGATTCTTGTAATGAAACCACTAGAAGCTTGAAATCAATTCATGGAACACATTTTTTTCTAAATAAATACGAAAAAGAAAAAAAAAATATATTGAAATCTTTAGAAGAAATAGACAACAACCTTTGGGAAATTTCAAAAAAAATAGAAGAGAATCTAGAAAGAAAAAATATGCATCATAATATTCAAAAAACTTTCTCCTCAATGCCTAGAAACTTTCTAGATCATGATGATTTTTTTCTACTTTTAAAAATTTTACGACATCGTAAAATTTGGAAATCAACTAGATGGTATCCATTAGTGTCTAAATTAACATCTAATGAAAAAATGTTTCATATATCACGTCTATTTATGCAAATGTCTCAATCGGAGAAAGATATTAGTAGATTATTGATGGAATTAATGCACCAATAAATTTATTGACTATACTGTTTGCTTTGAAATGCAAATATCAAAAGAAATTCCCCAAAGGAAAGATTTTCCCTTTGGGGAATTTCTTGAAGAAGTCCCTTTTATTGAGTAGACACAAGATCAATACATTTCATTTAAGCTCGTTACTCAATTCCCTGGTTAGGATTCTACTCTTAATTATAGGGAAGAACCTAAACCAACATAAGAGCCGTAAAAGAAAAGGCCCACTAGAGTGGTGACAGCAATGCCTGCTACTGTCCCTATAAACCACAACGGAATTCTTCCTGTAGTTCCAACGTTAGACATCTGTTCTACTCCCTTCACATCTGCATTGGAGGTCTTGGCTAAAGATCATTACAGCCACAAGCAACAAAGTAACTAAATACGAATTTTCCAAATGAGGCAATAACCAACTATTATTACTAGTTAAAGAAGTAGCTAGAAAAGAGTACTGCAAGTACAAAAATTAGTAGCAGTCCCCAAAATAAACTAGTACGGTTTAACTCGACGTTTTGCTTGTTCGGGTTTGGTTGTGTCATAATTGTGCGCTTTATAAAGAGCTTACCTTTGAATGAACTGCATTGCTGAGATAGAGCCCAAGAAAAAAACTGTAGGCACAGCTAGCCCATGAACAGCCAGCCATCTAACCGTAAAGATGGGATAAGTTCTATCGATAGTCATTTAATATCTCCTATAGCGATCTGGTAAATTCGTCTAGTTGCTCTAGAGAGTTGAAACGTCCAGTAATTAAAGGAACTTCTTGACGACTCTCTGTAAAGTATTCGTTAGGACGAGGACTTCCGAATACGTCATAAGCAAGACCTGTGCTAACGAACAACCAACCCGCTATAAATAGCGAAGGGATTGTAATGCTATGGATAACCCAGTAACGAATACTGGTAATAATATCTGCAAAGGGGCGCTCTCCCGTATTCCCAGACATGGTTAGCTCCGTGTGTAAAGATAAGACAAAGTATAAAGTTAATAAAGAATGTGAGCTGTTTAGGCTCTTTTCTATTTTGTCTTATCAGGTGGTATTATACTAAGAGTATTTGCAAAACATGCTAAGTAAGTATAACCAAGATACCTTTCGCACAGCAAGGCACTTTGTCCCATTGTCAGTTAATAGTATTTTACAAAAAATACGGTGAGAATATACAGTCACACATAATTCGATAAAAAAAAATATCAACTGACTTGCGACAATTATTAAAAAGAAAAAACTATCTTCTTTTTTTTATAGAATAGGAAAAAGTATGCAAAGTATCTTTCTAGTACAAAAAAATATCAATAGATGATTTTTGTAGAAAAAAATCAATTAGTTAATTGAATTCCATACATTCATACACCAAAGATCTCCTCATTCCTTCCAATCCAGGAGAGGAGATCTCAAAACTAACACTTTATTTTTAGTAAACAAGGGTTCCTGAATTAGAGTTCCTTAGACGATTTCGTCTTGTTCAATGTACAAGAAGAAAGAAGCAAAAGCTACAGCTGGAAATACTAAACCTACCAAAGGAACCAAAATAGAAGGTAGATAGGAAGCGGTCATGGATGTGTTCCCTCATGTAATATATACCTTGTGAGATAATTTATCACAAAGTAAATTCTTGAATATCTAAGATATGAATCTATGTCTAATTTACTAAATAAATTAGTGGACCTAAGAGTCTTCTCTGTATCTCATAACTATTGTTAAAAAATAAGTTCTCAAGTCATACTAGTATTTATATGACTTTTGATAAGAGATACCATCTATATCGAATCGAATTGAGAATAGAAAAACAATCGTTCTATAAAATAAACGCTTTCTGCACTGATAACGTCTAACAGACGATTATATAACAAGTTTATGTAATACACAATCTATTCTGTATTACTATACAAAAAATATATCATTAACATACTATCAACATGTTATTGGGATTTCTTTTGTATTTTTACAAGGAGCAGATTTATAAAGTTCAAACAATTCTCCTAACACACCTTTCAAAATGGCTCTAGGAACAATTAAATCTAATAATCCATGATCTAATAATGATTCAGCTACTTGAAACCCGTCAGGTACTTCCTGTCGTAAAGTTTGTTCAATAACACGTTTGCCAGCAAAAGCAATATATGCTTTCGGTTCAGCAATAATGATATCACCTAACATACCAAAACTAGCAGTAACACCTCCTGTAGTTGGATAAGTAAGAATAGATATATAAAGTAACTTATGTTGAATTTGATGAATTTGTAAAACAGAAGCAATTTTTGCCATTTGCATTAAACTTAGTGTACCTTCTTGCATACGTGCTCCTCCAGAAGCACATACAATAACAAGTGGTAATTTATGTTGCGTAGCATGTTCAATTAATCGGGTAAGTTTTTCGCCAACTACTGATCCCATACTGCCTCCCATAAATTGGAAATCCATCACTCCTAATGCAATAGGAGTACCATTCAGTTCTCCTACACCAGTTTGAACAGCATCTGTCAATCCTGTACGTATTTGATTTTCTTCAATCCGATCTCTATATGATTGTTGATCGAAAAAATCTAATACATCACAAGGAAGCATATCTTCGTCCATAGGTTCCCAAGTACCAGGATCAATCAGGAGTTCAATTCTTTCTGTACTATTCATCTCTAAATGATAGCCACATTCTTCACAAATACGTTGATTTTGTTTTAAAAATCGTACATATAGCATGCTTTCACAATTATCACATTGTGTCCATAATCCTTCGCTAGGATCAGATTCTGGATATTTTGGCTTTGGCGTAGTAAGTAGTTTAAGCCTACGTTTTTCTTCAAACCAATCAACTAATGACATAACTAAAATCCTCCTTGTTTTAATAGAAGCACAGTCAATACTTATTGAGAATAAGCAGAACCGATTGTAATATATTCAGTGTGATATATATATTATTTGCAACATAAACTTATTCCAAACTAACTTACTATTTATGTAAAATAGAAAAAGCAATGGAATGCAATACACCTTTCTTGAATAAAAACGTTCATTTTCCATGAATAAATTGTCTTCCAACTGAGTTGGAAGTATAAAAAAATATATCCAAGATATCAGGAGACAAGGGGCTAAAATAACAAGGGATTAAGTATCTACGTATCTAGTCACACTTTGGTAGTATAATGGCATAATATAACAATATCAGGAATTTTGAATCGGAAGAAAGTATTAAACAAATCCTCATAGAAGAAGAAATACCACAAAAGGTCTCTTGAATTCTCAATCCAAGAACTGTTGTATTTAAAACCATCGGATGCAAGTAACCAAGATGAATAACTCGAATAAGAAAAATATCAAATGGATATACTTCGCCTAATGAATCATAGGATATCCAGAGGAATTTCTATTACAAGAATATTAGATGAAGTGCAAAGAAGAGTATGTTAACCTTACACAATTGATAGAAATATCCAAAACATTCTATTCAATCGAATAAACATTCCTCCTACTTATAAACTCTTCCAAAAAATAGAAAAAGAAAAGTTGCTCTATTAGATTAACGTTCAACTTATTATAGATCTCCATTCACAAGGAACTAAAAG